CGCCCCCCCCCCCTTTCAGCAAAGCTCCTTGAGAGGGTGTGTATAGCTGTTGTCTCCAAACAGCCTCCAGTTAGGCTTCCCTGAGCACCAACATCACTTTCTACCAAGTTGCTTTGTCAAGATCAACAGTGATCTCCATGTTGCTAAATCCAGTGGCCAGTTCTCAGTGCTCGTCTAGTCTGTTGTTCTCATTTTGTAGATAATAAAGCGAGACCGAGATCAGGAAGAAGCCAGTATTAATAGAACCCAAGTTTTCTGATTTTCCTCCTATACTGACTAAAATTTTTATCTTCAGTATGTATCTTAACTGCCTACCTGCTTTAGACTACTAACTTAAAAATAGCACTATTTTAGTTATCTGGTATTTGGTGAAAAGCTTTTATCACATGATACAATGGTAGTTTCGCTGTTGATGGAAGTGGTATCTAGGAAAAGATATAGGTTGCTTTTTAATGTCATAATCAGAAAAAAAATAGTTTTCTTAGACATTGATTAAGGCAAAGGTTTTATATTTTTGTTAGTAATTTCTGTCTTGACAGATTATTTGGAAGCTTGGAAGTGAAATTCTCTTTTATCATCCCAAAAGCAGCGTGGAGACTTTTAACACCTTTGCCGACAGGATGAAAAATATTGGTGTCATGAATTACTTAACGGTAAGATGCGGGCTTTGGGAATTGACCTTTGCTGTGTTCATTTTAACAAAACAGCTGGTCTCAGTGGTAAGGTCGGTAGTCAGGTCAAAGGCATGGGCAGAAAGGTAAGACCTGGATAAATAAGAGAAGCCAAAGGAAAGCAATGCTGTGAGAACCTTGACTTCTCCATGTCCTCTCGCCTGCCTTGTTCTCTGGGTTAAAATACCCCCTCGTTGTGTATCTAGCTGCCTGAGCTGGTCCTCCAGAGAGGGCACATTCGCACCCTTTCCTCAAGTCATTGGAGCTCTGTAGGAATTGGTGCTGTTGGAGTTGAGCTAAATAAATAGGGAGTGTGAATATGTGAAAATGTTTGTTCCCAGCTTTCTTTGAAATATAATTGACATGTAACACTGTGTAAGTTTAATGTGTACAGTGTGATGATCTGATCCACGTGTGCATTGTGGAAGAGAGTTAGCACAATGAGACGAGTTAGCACATCCTTCATCTCATGTCATTACCACTGTGGTGGTGGTGGTGTTATGGTGAGAACATTAAGACGCTACCCTCACAGGAACTTTCAAGTGAACAAGTCATGTTATTGACGATAGTTACCATACTGTACATTAGATCCCCAGAACTCATTCATCTTATAACAGAATTTGTACCCTTTGACCAACATCTTTCAGTCTCCTCCACCTTCAGCCCTTGGCAACCACCAGTCTACTCTCTGTTTATATAGCTTTTAAGTAGCGTCTGAGCCAGGACTGTCTGTCTCCAAAACCCAGATTCTTTTTACTAGATCATGTCTTCTCTTTGTAAGCTTACGTAATTTTACTCTCATTTACAGTGTTGTTCCATGTATCTTTCCTCTTTGCTAGATTGAATTTTTTGATGACAGGGACAGTGTCATTACATCATTTGTGTCCTACTAAGGTCTTACCCCAGCATGTATCATACCTTTACTGAGCTTTCTGACGGATGGTTATCTAAGGACCTATAAATCAGAGGGTGTTTTCTCGTTGTTGTTGCAGATCTCCTTACAACATGCGTTATACCTTCTGCATCATGGGATGCTTGATGACGCCAACAGAAATCTCAGCCAGGCAGAGACGTGGAGATATGGTGAAAAGTCATCTTCCCAGGAGGTGTTAATCAACCTGATTCAGGCCTATAAGGGGCTTTTGCAATATTATACTTGGTCTAAAAAGAAGATGGAATTGTCCAAGCTTGGTGAGTGGGTACAAGTGAACTTTTTCTTGTGGTCATAAGACTGAATCAGAGGGACACTGGATCTTAAAGAGTAATTTAATCCTCCAACCTCCCAGCTGAGCTTTATTCAGATATTACAGAGAGCAGATATTTCTATGTCTGAACCAGTCCATCTTTCGAGGTTACATGTTTCTTTAGTTAACCTTGCCATAATGCCTGCTGTAATATTTTTTTTAAAAACAGGCTCGCTGATGTTCATTAGGTAAGTTTTAAGTCAATATTTACTTTCTTCTTGCACGTGGTTAGGTAGGACATAAGCAAATATTCAATGATGAAAGCAGGTGGATTGGAACCTGGCATTTACACCTTACCTCATAGACAGGTGGTCTAGTACCTTCCTGCAGCTGACACTTTGTTCTGTAGCAACAGGAGGTGAAGATGGGATAATATGGGGAGCTCTTTAGATGATTTCCAACTGCAAATGTCTATTTAATAGAAGAAAAATTAGGACTAGTTCTGTGTAGCCAAACTCATAAGAATATAACACATAAACATGTGATTAGATTGGCTTAGAGTGATTGTCCCTTGCTGCTGTGGCCCGTCCTGTTGGATTTGATGCACTTGATGATTGGGACCCTCTTCTGTAGTAAGTTCACGCCCAGCGTATACTTATTCAGGGATCTGCGTTTTTTCTTTAAATTTTTTTTCTGTCATTTCTTACCTACTTTTTCCCCTTATCACCTTTTTTCCAAGTCTATATTGATATTTGTTCAGTTGATCCACTGGGGAGGGAATACCAGTCCCTCTTTTTTGGGGGGTTACTTTTTTGGCTAAAAAGTAGCATTGGTACCAAAAAGTATTTTGGCCTTCGATTAGCCCTTGCCTTTGAAAGACCGAGTAACTTTCTTTTTAAACCTTTAAGATTGTAATCTCTTTAATATGTATTATTGCCAGATTTTTCATATCACCCAGTTTTTAAGGGGTAGTGATCTTGTGTGTTTTTTAAAAGACAGCTTTATTGAGAATTGATACATAATTTTTAATACCATTCACCCACTTAAAAGTGTACAATTCAGTGCTTTGCAGTTGATTGACAAAGAGTTGTGCATCCATTACCGTAATCAATTTTAGAACATTTCCATCACCCCAGAAAGAAACCCCGTACCCATTAGCTGCCACTCTCAGTCCCCCCCAATTAATTTCACTTGATGAATCAGTCATTTCCAAGTCCTTCTTGTGACATGTGAGATGCTACAACGTCTGTGTGATGAGGTGAAGCGAGGTGAATGACGTAGGCATTGAGACTTAGTGTTAGGCCAGTGTTGACCTTCTGATGATACTTCAGAAGGAAGGTCATCTGCTTCGGTGACCTTGGACCATTGAGCCATGCCCATGCCCATGGTTGTATGTTAGGAGCAGACAGTGGCTGAGAATCCTCCATAGTTGAAAGGTTTTTTTGTTACAATGGTGCACAATTTAAAACTTGTGAACTGTTTATTTCTGGAATTTTCCATTTAATACTTTCGGACTGCGGTTGACTGAGGGTAACCGAAATGGTGGAAAGCACAACCACAGATATAATCCTTTTCGTATGCTGCTGGATTCAGGATTTTTACATCTATATTCCTGGAAATATTGGTCCATAGTTTTCCTTGTGTTGTCTTTGTCTGGTTTTTGCATGAGGGTCATACTGGCCTCGTGGAATGAGCTGGGAAGTGTTACCCCTCTTCTCATTTGGGGGGAAGGGTTTGGGAAGAATTAGTATCACTCTTTCAGTGTTCGAATTCACCAGTGCATCCATCAGGGCCTGAGCTTTTCTCGTGGGTTGTTACTGACCGCTAATTGAGCAGAAGCCTTCAGTACGGAGTGATTCTTAACAACCTTTCATCCCTGAGCAGACGAGGATGATTATGCTTACAACACGGCGTCTCAGAGCATGCGCAGCCACAGCTGGAAGACGTCCATCAACTTCTCTGCACTGATCCAGGTTCCTGGCGTTTGGGACCCTTTCGTGAAGAGTTATGTAGAGGTAAGTAGACTTTTCATAGAGTTTTACTAGTTTCATTTCATTATAAGCCTAATCTCTACTGATCAGAAGGAAACTAATGTTTAAAAATTATTTAAAAAAAATAATAGAGCATCTTTCCTCGGTCTGGACAATTTTTGATTATTTTACTAATGTACTGTAAATGTCATTTTGTGTTTATTTTTACCACTGGATAGTGTGGTAAATAGCCAAGTATGTGTAAAACAAATAGCAATGTAGTTGTAATTGTCAACTCTGTATTATTTTTATTGAGCTTAAAAGAAAAGCAAGAAGATCTTTCATGATTTGATGGGCTATAGAAGGGAAAAGACAAAAATCTGAAATTATATAGACAATATATTGGATGAAGAATAGTGACTTGTAGGACGCTCATGAGGACGTCCTATTACCTCAGGGTCATTGTGGAAGGACAGAGGGCCTTGGCCCAGGGCACGGGGAATGAATTATCAAAATAATTTGCTTTTTGAATGTTGCCTGAGTGCTAACGTGGTAATTGTGTTGTCAGAAGATAATCTCTGGAACCAAATGCTAGCGAATCCGGAAGTTCCTGTGTGAGGGTGGGAATGAAATGAAAGGAACTGTAATTCCCACGTGCCCCTTTCATGGCTAAATGTTCTTTTTTTCAGTCTTCAGTGTGCTCCGCTCTGAGCACTTTATTCTTATAGGAACCATTCTTATGTGAAGTTGCTACGTTTTTCATTAACAAATGGTAAACCACACAGGCTTTGCTGTAAGCATCTCTGTGCTCCGTAGAGGCTGTAACACAGGCTGGTGAGAGCAGAAACTGGCGTGATCACCTTTCCCCATACAGTACATATTATTTTTCAGTTTTATGATATTTTTTTACCCATTGTTAACTTGTGCGTTATCTTTCTTGTAGCTCTCTTGCAGAGTTTAGCTAAGATGTTATATCTTCTTTTTTAATAGGTGCTGGAATTCTATGGGGATCAAGATGGAGCCCGAGAGGTTCTCACTAATTATGCCTATGATGAAAAGTTCCCATCCAACCCGAATGCGCACGTCTACTTATACCACTTCCTAAAGAGAGAGAAGGCCCCGAGAGAGAAGCTGATCAGTGTGCTTAAGGTACGGAATTTTTATGTCAGTGTTTGAACAGGGTTGAGGATCTACTTTAAAACATTAGAACAGGGAAAAAGCAAATAATCAAATAAGCAACAAGCAAAAGCCAGTATTTGAAAAGCTAATGGCTAAGAATTTTCTAACACTGACAAGATTTCTAGAGTTCTGATAATGTTCCGTTTTTTGTTTTTTTTTAATCTGGATGCTGATTACAAGAGCGTGTATAACTTTGTAAATATTTATTGAATGACACGCTCATAATTTGTATACATTTCTATTGCATATGTTATATTGTTAACAGAGTTTTTGAAAAATCTAAGTGAATTCAGCCAATATACAGAATCCCATATATCATAAGACTTAATGTGATTTTGTAAGAACCAAGTTTTAATATTCTCTGATATTGGTATACTGACCTCTTTTTAAGAAACCATTTAGAACCAAAAAGTAAGATTTACTTTTTATTTTATAGGAAATTATATCAGTGTAGAGTCAAAGAACCTCAGCAAGCAGACAGAATGAATTCATTTTTAATATTAAATGTGTTGGAATGAAAAATACAATTTTACTTTATATTCTAGTTTTTGCATATTTATAAAACTAGACTTCTTAAGAAGAAAAACCTTTAATTTCTCTGTTGCATAAAAATGTTGTAAAAATATTTTCATGAATATTCTTCCAGAACACACAGTCTTCCAAACTAGCCACCTTATTTTGGGTTTTTGTTTTATACAACTATTCTGTAACCTTTTGTGATCAATAAATATTAACTAATCTGTGTGATACTGATTTTTTCTTTCATTTTTTTTCTCAGTTTGGCTTCTGAAAAGAAATTAAATTTTTAAGTGATAAGCAGTATAAAAAATGTATAAGGAGAAAAGAAAGCCTCTTATCTATTTTCCCCTACTCTTCTGATTATCTTGTTATTGTCAGGGACTTTTTAAAAATAGCTTTATGTAGAATACTTTCTGTATCTGAATTGAAACTGAGTAAAAGCAAAGTATCTTTTAAATCCGTGCTTCATTCTATTTGAGAGTAAGAACTTTATTTGCAAATAAGATGAAATTTGAGAAATGCCTTTTCAGTGTGTAAATACTACAAAATTAATCCTTTCTTCCAGATTTTGTATCAGATTGTACCATCTCACAAACTGATGCTAGAATTCCATAGATTACTGAGAAAATCAGGTAAGTCATGTTTGTTTTGTATCTCTTTGTGCAGACAAGCTGTAGACCAGGGGATCCGCAAACTGTGGCTCACAGGCCAAGTCCACCGCCCACCTGTTCTGATGAATCAAGTTCTGCTGGAGCACAATCATGTCCATTCACTTACGTGTGGTCTGTGGCTGCTTTTGCACCATGGCAACAGAGTTACTTAACTGTGACAGAGACCATGTGGCCCACAAAGACTAAATATTTACTGTCTTGCCCTTGACAAAAAAAGTTTGCTGACTCCTGCATGGCACATTAGGCAGTAGTCAGCAAAAGAGAAGTGGCTTTAGTTTATATAATTCACCTCGTTTCAGTCACTACTGCATTGCAGCTCAATATAGAAAAGAACGTAGCTTCATAGGAAGAAGTCGGCCTGAGTCCAACAGGTACTGACACTATCTCGGTGCCTGTCCTAATGGAAGAAAACATACGTGAAATGCCCAAGTAGGTTTAAGTAATGTTCTCGGTGTATACAACTGATCCATGAAGAACATGGGTTTGAACTGTGTGAGTCCACTTACGTGCAGAAATTTTTCAATAAATACTGTAAATGTATTTTACTTATGGTTTTTCTTAATAACATTTCTTTAGCTGATTGTATTCTAAGAATACAGTATATACTACATAGACAAAATGTGTACAGTTGGTATGGCTTCTGCTCAACAGTAGGCCATTAGTAGTTAAGGTTTTGTGGAGTCAAAAGTTAGAAATGGATTTTTGACCGTGGGGGTGGCGGGTTGACACCCCTAACTCGCTCTTTCAGTGGTATAGCCCATTTAGAGATCAGACTCAGCATTCCGACTTTAGTAGCATGGACTGAATTACTGAACTTTTCAGATTCTTCAAAGGAGAGTATGAGTACAAGAATAGTATTAAACTGTTAACCAGATTAAAGGGCTGATGGCTCACTGATATTTTACCAACTGAATATATTGTTTTAGCTTTGTGTACTTCAGTGCTTTATGTAAACCCTAATTACCATGATCATTGCAGACAAAGAAGAGCACCATAAACTGGGGCTGGAGGTACTATTCGGTATCTTAGATTTTTCTGGATGCACTAAAAATATAACTGCTTGGCAATATTTGGCAAAGTATCTCAGACAGACCTTAATGGGGTAAGTAAGAGACACATGGTATTTATTACTGCATCAGCATAAATAATATTTCCCAATATTATAGCCGATAACTGTAAATTTTTAAATAAAGTTCTTTGCTTATGTTTTTGGATTTGTTGAACTGTGTCTTCTGCTGCTTTCTTCTGACTTCATCAGAAACAAGGACATTCAGAGTTACAGGTATAACATACAAAAATTCTATCAGGGTGTTTTTACGCCAGCAAAATAAATACTGTACCATTACACTGTTAGGGAATATGTAGGCTTTTAATTGGAAATAAAGTCTAAATGGGATCACTCCCACTCTTTGCTCGACTCCTGTAATGCTCTTCGTGGTTTGCATGCCATCAACTTCTAAGGTCACATGGGAAGCAGCTTTCCTCTCAGCTGTTTTCAGTAATCTTCTTGGGGTTTTAAGGCCTCATAAGATAATCGTAGGTCATTCATTCGGCAAATATTTCTTAAGTCCATGTGAGCTGGGTATCTAAAACAATAGCTTTGGTCATAATATCATTAGTGCCACATTTTTTTACTTTGTGAGAAAAAGGGATATAAAAAAATTGTTTCATTTATTTATTGTATCCATTTTGGTTGGTTAGGAAGTTCAGTATCAGTGGGAACCTATTTCAGGCTTCAGGCCTGACCTGACCTTGGAGAAAGAACAGAGCTGATTATAAAGTGTTTTTGGTGTGATATGTTAATGTTCTCGCTGTAAACCATTTTGCAGATCTAAACCCTATCTAAACCCCTACTCACCATAAGGTTCTTGAAGGCAGAGAAATGTACTGTTAATTTTTTGAACCTGTAGCAGTTCTGCCATAGGACAAAAATAAGTCCTAAATATGTATTTGCTCACTTAAATTATTCTTGAACCCTTAGCATTGTCTGGTTCAACTGTGAAACCTGTGTGTTCATGTTATTTGTGTGGTGACAGCATCTGAATTTGGCTAGTAATTCTTTGTAGCATATAATTTAAAATAAGGTTTTAAAGTAACTTTTAAATAATAATAAGAGCTAACATTTATGGAACATTTACTATATACCAGAAATTATGCTTTCTTTATATGAAGAAACTGCTGTATTGTTGGACCAGTTCAATCCTGATAACAATGCTATGAGCTGGGTGCCATTAGTGTCCTTGAGGAAACAGGCTCAGAGAGGTTAAACAGTATTGGCCAGGCTCACGTGGATAGTGAATGGAAGATCTGAGATTCGAATCAGGGTTTTGACTTCAGAGTCTATGCTGTTGACCACTGAGCTATACTGAACTGGCTGTTTAGTTAAATGGAAGATGGGACACAGAGATCCAAGAGACCTAAAACGGGTGTGGTTTCGTGCATGTGCCCTGCAATGGCCAGATTCAGAAATTAGTCGGCAAACGTCTTCCTTGTCATTGTTCTGTGGGTTCTGCTTAAGTTCACATTCTGACAGTATTGAAGCTTCTCCATCACTGACTGTTTTCTTTTCCAGAAATCACCTTGCCTGGGTTCAAGAAGAGTGGAATTCCAGGAAGAACTGGTGGCCAGGCTTTCACTTCAGCTACTTTTGGGCAAAAAGTGATTGGAAGGAAGATAAAGCTTTGGCTTATGAGAAAGTTTTCGTAGCTGGAATTTTGTTAGGAAAAGGTACATGTTTTGATTTCTTTTTGTCTAAACGTCGCTTTTAGATAATTTTGAAATTGCAAAGTATGACCATTCATTCATCCGACAGCTCACCTGTGGTACCTAAGGGTATTAGATGCTAGAGAAGTCACTGTTGAGTAGGAAAATGAATCCTGAAGTGCGGCCAGGTGATCTACGTGTAGGAAGCCCAGTGGATTAGAAACAGTGATTTCATGTTGTTGATTGTGGTTGGTTTTTATGCTCTAACTTGAGCATCTTTAGTGGCCATTAAGATACGAGATGCAAACTGGTTTCGTGACACATAACCATTTGGCTCTTCTGTATAGAAAGTTTACTGAGCTTGTCACGTTATTAGAAATAGAGAAATAGTCTTTATTGACCTTAATGTTTTATAATAGCTCTATATTATATTCACTCATCTGTTCCTGTAGGGGTGAAACATTTTCTCCCCTTGAGAAAAAGTACTCCTCCTATTAATTTAAAAATCCTATTACAGGCAAAGCAAGCCGATCTCTTTTTTGTGGAGTGTTTTGGTCTGTTAAAATTCTTAACCTGCTCTGTATTACGAAAATACGAAAAGGTGGCCAGTACTGAAATGAGACTGTTGAGAGATGAAGACTGTGAACCTCACACTGTCCACGAGGAAGCAGTTTGCTGCTAGAGAGTTTAAAGTATCTTAACGAGGTTTTTAAGGTCTGTTTTAGATGACATGTATATTTTTTTGGAATTTGTATCATCAGTGAATGTTTCAGATGGTTCCTAAAATTCCTAAAATGCTGGTTTTGTAGGAGGAAAGAGATTAACAAGCATGAACATGATTTTAAAATTCTTCTCGTGTGCCGATGACAGGGAACAGAAGTGCGATTTGAACTGTGACTCTCCGCTTGGTTATGAGCGTGGAGGAGTCTAGTACCGACATCTAAAGGTGTCTGTGTTTGTGCAGAGCTGGAGGACCTGGGATCTTGTTCCATTTCTGTCACATAGCCTGCCATGTCACTTAGTCAGGCCGTTAACCTTTGGGAGCCTCCTCTGGGAAGCGGGGGTTGCGACACCTGTTCATGTTTGCTTACAGGACTGTCGTAAGCATCAGGTCGACATCGCATTCAAGTGCTCTAGAAATTGTAAAGTCTTCTATGGATATCAGGCCTAATTATGGTGTGGGGTTGAATCAGTCTGTTCAGGTGTTGAGCTGGGTTTTGTTCTTGCTCTGGTTACCCTCATTGCATCATAGGATTCCGGTTCTGGCCGTGGTCTGCCTCTGCTTTGTGCTTGGAGTGGGATTTGGGGGCCACCCTTCTTCCTCGCTCTGCTAAGGTGGGCCAGGCCCATGTGTCACAGGAGGGGCCTGTCCTCCTTGCCTTTCAGGCTACTTGGTTGCCCTGTGACTTCAGCCCTGGTGGGAGCTGGTAGTTTACTTGGCTTTTCTCTCTGTTAGGGTGGGAGCAGCGTTCTCTCCAGCTTTCTGTGTTCCAGGTAGAAGCAGAAACTGGTGTACAAAGTATTTTGATTTTACTAAAGTGGTAGCTAAAGTTTATGCTTTAATGCCGATGGATCAGACACGTGGTCGTATGTAGGAAGCAGTACACTGCATTGGTGATGGCTCTGAGAATGTGCTTAGGATGTATTGGTCTAGACGATGCAGATCATTCTGTTTCCATAATCATTAGTATGCCAGAATTAAGCAAAATTTAAGATGTAGAAATATATTTGAAGTATTTGATAAGTATTAAAACTACTTTTCTTTCTTTGGCTTTGTTTTATTGTTTTTCAGGTTGTAGATATTTTCGGTATATTTCAAAACAAGATCATCAAGCCTTAAGGAAGAAATTTAAGCAGATAAAGAAGTTAGTGAAAAAATACAGTGTTGTAAACCCCGGACTCTGACATTGAACTTGAGTTATTTCGGATTGGTAGCTACAGTGTAGTAGCTCAATAGGTAATTATTGAATGTATTTATTTATTTGTTTTAAGAAGGTAGTTTCATATGGCTACAAAAATGTTATTTTTATATTTTCTTTTATTCTTAGTGATAGCTGGAGAAACACCTTTGCTCTTTGTAAATAAGTATTTTTTCTTTTTGTACTGTTAAATATAACATTTATTAAGGATAACCTTCAAATAAAACATATATTTGTGTAACCAGAGGATATACCTCTTCAGCAGTTAGTGTTATTTGGCGATAACTTGCCTGACTTTGTATAACAAAACATAACTGTGGAACTGTTAAATGAGTTTATATTCTTTCAGATTCTAAACAACCCCAAGTTAGATCTACTATCATGAAGAATGTTTTGGTGATGAGTTCCGTTGAGCAACTTCGGAAACAGAGAGATTTAGAAAAGGACGCTTTCTTCTCTTTTGGTATTAAGACTTCGCAGTTTGGGGCTGAGTGACCTGTTGGGTGACCTTTTATTTAAGAGAACGAACTTGGGTCAGAGACCGTCAAGGGGGCTGGCAGTTTTCAGCTGCCGCTGGCTTAGCTTCAAAGGGCTCTAGGCCTGTGTGTGTGTGTGTTAATCAGACACAGCAATCTTAAGCCATGCTTTAGAACTCCCGTGTCCTCTCCTCTCCTCTTGGAAACTAGGATGCAGCAGCAGCAGGCAGCTGGACAGTGGAGGAGACTGCTGGTGACATAGTGTCCCTGGGCCACACAGTAGGCCCAATGGGAAAGCTTGGCTCCGAAGCCAGGAACTACTTGCCTGGGGTATGAGCGGAGCTTTATAAGCTCTTGGAGAACTGGTAGAGTGAGTGTTTCTTCAAAACTGTCTTGGCTCTCATACATTTACTGTTCAGATGACCAGTATTTGGGTTTCTTGAAGGCTCACTAACTTCAGAGAAAGTCCAGTATTTAGGTGGCAAACTGTGTGTTTTCCCAGTTGGCTTATATTCCCACTGATTGTAAACCATCTGCAAGAAAATTGGGGAACATACAATGCTTTGTCAGTAATATAATTCAGTATTTTATATTTAGTAAGAAACGACTATCAGCCAATAAGTACCCAACCATATAGACATATGAGACAAGTAGGTGCCCCATAGAACTAAAATAAGCCGAGTTAAAGCTACACCTGAACGGGCCAACCTTGTATCAAATGTTTATATCTGATTGTACAATAAGCGTGTGAATCAACAACGGAAGTGTTTTTTAGGTTCACTGAAGTTAAAGTCAGTTTCATGAGTGATAATTGCTGACATTTATCAAGCACTGGGGACTTTACGTTTTGTCATACCATTACCGCAAATCCTATGAATCTTCCCTATCTTACCAAGAAAGAAAGTCAGGTCCTCCAAGGCTAAGTAACTTGCTCAAGGTCACAGCTGGTAGGTCTTGGCACCAGGCCCGTAGCCCAACCAGTGTCGTTCCAGAGACCACACTGCATTTGTACTTTCTGTACTGACTCCCAGTTTAGTCAGTGTTTATAACATGCAGAACACTGAGCTAGGTAGCAGTTCTTTACTTTTATTAAAAAAAATGTTTTAAATTTATTTTTCAATTACAGTCAACATACACAATTATATTAGTTTCAGGTATATAACATAGTTATTAGACATTTATATACCTTACAAGCTGATCACCCCAATGAGTCCAGGACCCATTTGACACCATGCATAGTTACTACAATATTAATGACTGTATTCCGAAAGCTGTACTTTACATCCCCGAGACTATTTTCATAACTGGCAATTTGTACTTCTTAATCCCTTCACATTTTTCGCCCTCCCCCAACCCCCCCTCCCATCGGCAACCATCGAGTTTTGCTCTGTCTATGGATTTGTTTCTGTTTTGTTCGTTTATTTTGTGAAATCATATGGTATTTGCCTCAGTCTGATTTATTTCTCTTAGCATAGTGCCCTCCAGAATATCCATTGGCCTACTGATGGACACTTAGGTTTCTCCCTATCTTGGCTATTATAAATAATGCTGAACATAGAGGTGCATATCTTTTCGAAATAGTGTTGGATTTCTTTCGAAAAATACGCAGAAGTGTAATTGCTGGGTCACATGGTAGTTTTATTTTTAATTTTAAATTGGCTGTACCAATTTACAATCCCACCAACGGTGTGTAAGGGCTGCCTTTTCTCCATGTCATCTTGTTTGCTGATTTGTTGATGGTAGCGATTCTGACAGGTGTGGGGTGATGTCTCATTGTGGTTTTAATTTGCATTTCCCTGATGATTGGTGATGTTGGGCTTCCTTTCCTTGGCCATCTGTATGTCCTTTTCTGGAGAAATGTTTATTCAGGCCTTCTACCCATTTTTCAATTGGATTGTTTGTTATTTTGCTGTTAATTTGTATGAGTTCCTTATATATTTTGGCTATTAAGCCTTTATGGGATTGCAAAAACTTTTTAGTTTGAAGTAGTCCCATTTGTTTATTTTTTCTTCTGTTTCCCTTGCCCGAGGAGATATATCCAAAAAAAATATCGTATCCTGCTGCTTTGCTGAATCACTTATTATTTCTAATAGTTTTTTGGTAGAATCTTTAGGGTTCTTTATGTGTAGTATCTTGTCACCTGCAAATAGTGGCAGCGTTCCTCTTTCCTTTTCAATTTGGTTGCCTTTTATTTCTTTTTCTGGTCTGATTGCTGTGGCTAGGACTGGGTAGCAGCTCTTTAAAACAATGAAAAGGACTATACCATATATGGTTCCATTTATATGAAATGTCCAGAATAGGCAAATTAGAGAGAGAATGAGAGTAGATTAGTGGTTGCCTAGGAAAGATGGGTGGGGAGATAGGATGGGTGTGAAGGCTACGGGGTGCAGGGGTTCTCTCACAGCGATGAAAATGCCCCAACATTGGTGTGATGGTGGTTGCAGTCATGGAAGTGTACACTGTAAATGAATGAATTGTGTGGCATATGAATCATATGTCAGTGAAACTGTAGCAACGACAAAAAGCAGGCTCTCTGGGGTCAGAAAGACCCGGATTCAACAAAGCACCTCAGCTGACCCTCAGCTTTACTCCCTTATTCTGGGAAAGGCGGATAAGAAGTTCACATGAGTCCAGGTGTGTAGTTTTTTCCTCAGTAAGTGATAACATTTATTATTATGAACAAGATCCTCCCACCGAGCACCGCAGGAGCCCCTGAATCTGGGCTTCCACAGCCTGATGTCCGGACTGCATAGCGTGTGTTCTCCTGGGAGACTCCGGGCTGCTCAGCCAGTGAAGCTAAACGCAGCCCGAGTTTCCTGGTCTCTGCCCCTCCCCCCTCGCAGGAATTCTTTGCAGTTTCAGTGACTCACAGCACCTCTCCCATTGGCAGCATTGCCCCTATGTGCTAAACAGCCATGATCCCCAATAAATCAGCAGTAGGTGTCTGGACTTGGCCGGCTTCATGTTTAGGGGATTGGAGGGGACAGGGCCACCTCTCACTGCATTCATAGGAGATACTTGGCTACCCAGCCCACAGGAGGGATCCTGCTCAGAAACCAGTGAACTTGGTGAGGGGGGAGAGAAGGAAGGAGGAAAACCCGGGGGTGGGGAAGGGAGGAGAGGAAAGAATTAGCCCAGAGCAGGGAAGTCAACCTGAGCAAACACAGCAGCCTGAGGGCTCCCAAGGCCACGATGCTGAGGAAACCTGTTCTCAGGGAGGGTCTGAGTTGGCAGGGCCCCCAGCTCCCGACCTCTTCTGGCATTTTCTGCCTCTGCCTCGCATTCTTGTTGGACCGGGTGGGCTTGCTGCAGGGGCACCCCCAGTGCCTGGATTACGGCCCCCCCTTCCGGCCCCCACTGCACCTCAAGTTTTGCTCTGACTATGAGTCCTTCGGCTGCTGTGACCAGCGTAAGGACCGCCGCATTGCTGCTCGGTACGGAGACATCATGAACTACCTTGACCTGAAGGACCATGAGCTGTGTGGCCGTTACATTAAAGACATCCTGTGCCAGGTAGGACTGAGTATAGAAAAGAACCCAGATGGAAATGAGGGAGCCAACTTCGAAAAGTACCTTCCAGCCCAGCAGACCAGGGTGCTGAGTGAGTGGCCTGGGTCCTGGGGCGAGGGCTGTTTGGTACCCAGGGTTTTAGAAGCTCAGCTGCCAGCTGCCTCACTTTAGAGCTTTGGGCTCTGGACAGGCGCAGGGAGGTAAGGATGTGCTGAGTCGGTTTTCACTGGTTTCCCAAAGCTCTCCCTGTGGGTTCTGCTGGCCCTGGGGCTTTCTCAGGCCCCCGGAGGGTGAGCCCGTGCCCTTCAGGATGCTCTCGAGTAGCTGTAGCCTGGGCCCTGCCACAGGCTCCAGGAGCTGGGCACAGCACACACCTGTGGTGTTGATGCGGTGCATGGGGGCAGCAGGGGCATCTGCCGGGATCCAGGCCTCACTTGGGTCATGTGTGCCAGGGGTTGTGGTGTGATGATGTGGCGGCAGGGGTTGGGGGGCTCTCCTAGCACCCCAGAGCTAGACTGGGAGGGCTTCAAGCGGCTGAGCAGCAATGACTCAGAGGTTCTGCTCCTGGCTCTCCAGCAGCCAGAACCCACATCCCTGGCAGGCATCCCCCATGCTGGTGCCAGCTGCACACACCGGCTCGGTGGGAAGGGGCTCAGGGGTGCAGGGGAGAGCTGGCATTGGACAGCTGATGGAAGAGGTTGCCATGGGGAGCAGCGCTCCAACGATGGGCTGGGGGTGAGACAGGAAATCCAGGCAGAACTTTGATCTGAGATGTTTCTGGGCGTGTCAGTGTGACCACTTGGCTCTGTGCACGGAACACAGCAGCGTCTGGCACAGAAGCCAGCCAGCCACCTGGGTGGCATCGCCTGGGGCTGTGCTCTGTCACCTCGGCACCCCCCTCAGCTGTTTCCTGGAGAAATAACTCTGGGGTAACCATTTGGGCAGAAGCTGGGTTCTTAGTAGCAACACAGAGGCTGTCAGTTTCTGAGAATTCTCTTAGTAAAAATGTCTCTTCCTCTGTCTTTCCTCCCTGCCCCTCTGCTATTGAGTGAGATTTCAGAAAGCCAGATTCAGAGCTCTCCTGTTTTAGGGAATTGAAGAATCAGAATAACCTACACGTGTCTATTTATTAAAAAATTACAAGGCGCTCCTTCTCTCTTCCCCGACACAGGTAGTGTGTTCCCAGCAATGTCTGTAGGCAGCTATTATGATCTTCATTTTACTGATGAGGAATCAGGAGTTTTAAAGGACTTGTTCTGCCTGGCCAGGGTGGCTCAGTCGGTTGAGTGTCGTCCCATGCACTGAAAGGTTGCCGGTTCAATTCCAGGTCAGAGCACATGCCTGGGTTGCAGGCTCGATCCCTGGTAGGAGGCATGCAGGAGGCAGCCCATCCATGTTTTGCTCTCACATGGGTGTTTTTCTCTCTCCCTCTTCCTTTCTCTCTCCCTTAAAAAAAAAAAATTAATAAAAAATGTAAAACAAAAAATTTGTGGCCAGTCTGACCACAATGGGGCTGGTCCAGGGAATGAGCTCTCTGTCCTTTCTAGGAGTGCTCGCCGTACGCAGCCCATCTCTACGATGCTGAGAACCCTCAGACACCGCTCAGGAACCTTCCAGGCCTCTGCTCTGACTACTGCTCCACATTTCACTCCAACTGCCACTCTGCCATCTCCCTGCTGACCAGTGACCATCGCCTCCGGGAGTCCCATGAAAGAGATGGCGCCCACTTCTGCCACCTCCTCAACCTTCCTGACCAGGACTATTGCTTCCCTAACGTCCTGAGGAATGACCATCTCAACCGCAACCTGGGTGTGGTGGCCGAAGACCATCAGGGCTGCCTACAGCTCTGCCTGACCGAGGTGGCCAATGGGCTGAGGAACCCCGTCTCCATGGTCCATGCTGGGGACGGCACCCATCGATTCTTCGTGGCCGAGCAAGTGGGGGTGGTGTGGGCCTACCTGCCCGATGGGAGTCGCCTGGAACAGCCCTTCTTGGACCTCAAGAGCATCGTGTTGACCACTCCATGGATTGGGGATGAGAGAGGCTTCTTGGGGCTGGCTTTTCATCCCAAATTCCGCCGTAACCGCAAGTTCTATATTTATTATTCGTGCCTGGGCAAGAAGAAAGTAGAAAAGATCCGTATTAGTCAGATGAAGGTTTCCCAGGCTGACCCCAACAAAGCTGACCCAAAATCAGAAAGGTGAGACACACCCAGGAGCATCTGTGTACCTAGGAGATATGGGGGACTTCCCTGGTTTTAGGGCCACTAGCTTATAATGTTGACAAAGGAGTTGTTAATTAATGAGGATAGCTCAGGTTAGACTCTAGAGTCAAAGATCTTCATGGGGTATCACCATCACCTTGCAGTTGCCCAATTAGAGCTGTGCTTGCTTGACTTTATACAAGGTAAAGGCCGGCAGCCATAATGGATAGAAAAATAATTACAGATGATATCAGTACTTAGATAATAGCCATCTCTGGTTATAGTGTGGTTCCCAGGCCCTTTACCCTGAATGTGGGAATTCTCATCCTCATGGGTTGATGCATAAACAAAGGACTCAGTTCCAACGTCCCCGAGCTCACACTCTTTCCACTCTACCATTCTGCCATTTTTGCTTCTCTCTGCCTTCTCTCCTTTTCCATATGGACAGGTTGGGGGATTGAAAAGAGCATGAAGAACTGATAGACCAACCCTTGTGAGGTTGCTCAAAGGAAGGGATTTGAGGGTCTTGGTAGAGCAGAGAGTAAGGCCCAAGCCTCAGAAAAGAACAGTTGTTACCCTGGCTGGGTCTACATCTCATGAAGTCCTGATAGAAAAGAAAACTGATGCGTGAAGGAGTCATACTAGGACACACTGGGTGTCCCAGAGCCCCAAAGCTACCTGCTTTGTAATCCTTGGAGACTCTTGGCCGGTTTGGTCCAGTCATCTCTGAGTATCTCAAGAGGATACAGTTGAGCTTATATTAAAGCCTAACGTGTGGTTTCTCTTTTCCTTCCAGGGTCATCTTGGAGATAGAAGAGCCAGCCTCCAACCATAATGGTGGACAACTTCTCTTTGGCCTGGATGGTTATCTGTACATATTCACCGGGGACGGAGGACAGGCTGGGGACCCTTTTGGCAAATTTGGAAACGCTCAGAACAAGTAAGCTGGATGGAGGCTGGGTCCCTGTCCCCTTAGGGTGAGCCCCGGGCAGTGTTTTTGCTGAGACAGAGCCTCCAGAGGGTCAAACCCAAACCACTTGCTGCAAGATGTAGTTCCCACTGTTGAGGCGAGTGGGAGGGGCAGTTGGTTCTGTCCAGGGCATTTCCATCATAGTGTATTTTGATAATATGGATGTCAATGTGACATTCAGAGCACTTTACAGGGACAAATTCAGAATGTTTAATATATGTTATCAGGACATTATTTGCACACCAAGACCTGATCATCCAATTCAATTGAACTCAACAGTATTATTGAGCACTGAGTTCCAGGCACTGTGCTAGGCCCCAGTGACACATGACAGTTCAGTTAATAAGAGCTAATGTATATTGAGTGCTCAAGGAGTGCAGGTGCTGTTCTAAATACCTTGCGTTTATTCGAGAATGTAATTCTAACAGCCCACAAGGGCACGCATTTTTATCTATTTTAATTGACGTGTCCCTAGGACTTAGAGTAGTGCTTGCCACATGGAGGCATTCCATAAATACTTATGGAATGAATGAACCCTATGAAGTGTAAGTATTGTGACAGCCACTTACAATAACAGTGGAGACAGAGAAGAGTAGCTTGTCCAAAGTCACACAGTGAGTCAGCAGCAGACCCAGAATTCAAACTCTGATGATGAGGCTGTGCTGCCTGGATAGAGGCCATGTGATCCTCCTGCCCTTCGCACCCGGCAAGCACTTGGCCCCCATGGTCCCTTGTAATAGCATCATTTTTGTTGATAATAATAAAGATCCAGCATTTGTCCCATGCCTGCTGTATCATAATAACTCATTTAACCCTTACATGACAACCACATTGCAAGGTAGTGCAACTCTGCCTTACAGATGAGGAAACTGAGGCCCAGAGACCACAGTCATCAGCAGAGCCTCTGCTCTTTCTGCTGAAAACCTTGCTCTATGAGGAAGAATAGAACCAGCTCCTTTGAAAAAAGTTCATGGCATTAGACCAAATCTGAGAGAAACCATCTCATTGTAAAAATAAAAAGACTGGCTCAGGGTCACGTGGACCAGAACTCCATCAAACTTTTGCCTGGTGGTTCATTGATCCAAAAGTCAGGAAGTCTGAATATCTCGTATATGTGTACTTGTGTGTATGTTTATATATGTATCATCATGTCTCCCCATGTGATGCCTACCAGTTGCTGGGCATTAACTATTATTAGCAGGCCCTCCTGGGCTGTCTCCTCTGATTCTGTGCCATTTAATTTACTTATTTCATTTTTTATTTTATTGCTTTATTATTTTTTAAAATTTATCTTTAGTGTTGAAAGTATTACAGATGTCCCCTTGGGCATCAACTATTATTTGCAAGCCCTTCTTGGCTGTCTCCTCTGTCCTGTGCCATTTTATTTCACTTTTTATTTTATTGCTTTATTTTTGAATTCTTAGCATGAGATCGTCCTTTAAAAATCTTTGAGTATCTAATACAATATTGTTCATCAGAGAGACAGTGTTGCACAGCAGGTCTCTCGAACTTACTCCTCTTGCACGCAGATGGCCACCAGGTGCATGAGAAGATGCTAACATCACTGGGCATCTGGGAAATGCAAATCAAACCGCAGTGAGATGTCACCTCACACCTGTTAGGAAGGCTATTATTAAAAAAAAAAAAAAAAGACAAGCATTGGCAAGATGTGGAGACATTTGAACCTTTGTGTCCTGTTGTGGGGAGTGCAAAGTAGTGCAGCTGCTATGGAAAACAGCGTGGCGATGCCTCAGAAAGTTAAAGACAGAACGAGCCATGATCCAGCAATCCCACTGCTCGTGTTTATCCCGTGCCTGTTTTTTGGCCCCCTTTCTTTCAGAAGTTCCCTGCTGGGCAAAGTGCTAAGGATCGACGTGAACGGGGCAGGCTCTGATGGCAAGCGGTACCGGGTCCCCCTGGACAACCCCTTTGTCTCTGAGCCGGGGGCGCACCCCGCCATCTACGCCTATGGAATCAGAAACACATGGCGCTGTGCGGTGGACCGAGGGGACCCCGTCACGCGCCAGGGCCGAGGCCGGATATTCTGTGGGGACGTGGGACAGAACAGGTTTGAGGAAGTCAACATCATCGTGAAAGGCGGGAACTATGGCTGGAGAGCAAAGGAGGGGTTCGAGTGTTACGACCAGAAGCTTTGTCACAATGCTTCCCTGAGTAAGTGAGAAACTCTCTGATGATTTTGTAAAAAATATGTTTTTATTGATGTCAGAGGAAGGGAGAGAGAGAGAAACATCAATGATGAGAGTTACTGATCAGCTGCCGCTTGCACTCCCCCTACTGGGGATCAAGGCTGCTAATTTTTAGCTGTGACACTCTCTTCCTGGACAGATGACATTCTGCCAATCTATGCTTATGGCCACTCACTGGGGAAGTCAGTCACCGGAGGTTATGTCTACCGTGGGTGCGAATCTCCAAATCTCAATGGCCTCTACATCTTTGGGGACTTCATGAGTGGGTAAGGAACCACTGATGTTTCCTCTCTCTTTTATTTTAACATTTTTATGAGCAAGTGAGCTGGGTGGAGGCTGGACTTTCATCTCTGTCTTTTCAACTCAAGGAGTCTGCTAGGCTCTGCCTATGATTTCCTTCCCTTCAGTGGAGACTTTTAAGGTAGCCAACTGGGACAATGGTAGGGCTCACCTTGTTTGTCTCCCACCTCCTAGAGAACACAGTCCTTCACTGTTCTCTAATGTCTTTTAAACAATTGTCATTCTCTTTTGTCTGTTTGAGTTGGGAGGGTAAATCTGGCCCGTTACCCCCTTAGCTAGACAGGATATTAATATTTTCACATAGCAATCCTTGGTTACAGAGATGGGGTGGAGTTAGCAATTGGTCCGATCCTTTACCACTTGTTAGATCTTTGGGATTTAATTGTTCTTTATATTTTTTACCATAACCCCTGCCTTTCACTCCCCCCCCCCCCATATATATCACTTGGTTAACATGCAGTGATTCTCTTAATGGAAGCATATGCATTAGAATCGCCTGGGATTGGGCTTCTCTGTTTTCATACAGCTTTTCAGGCGATACCTCTGGTTTACCCAACTTCCTTTCCCTTCTAAAAACCTGCCTTTAATTCAGATAGATGATGAGGCTTATAAAGTCTCTATCTCATATAGACATCATAATAATCATAGCTACTGGTTTTTGAGCCCTTACTGTATGCCAGGTACATTGGTGAGATATTTATGTATATTATCTCACTTAACCTTCTCAGTTCTTGCCTATGATAAATTCTATTTTCATGCCCCATTTTACAGATGAAAAAACTAAGGCTTAGAGATGTCGAGCAACTGGCCAAAGGTCACACAACTAAAAGAGATTAAGTTAGTCTTCGTAGTGGTGCAGCCTTCACAGGGCCCAAACACCTTTTATAGTAGAAGATGAGCTTCCCGTTTGGGCAAGTGGGTGTCTTACATCTGTGAGGCAGCTTCTGGATCCTTGGGAGAAGCTAATTACTGATGTCCTGTGGGAGACCCAGTTCTAACGCTCAAGGATGCTGTGATTCTAGGAGGAAAAATACTCTGTGGGTGGAAAATATGGATCCCTAAAATATAAGGTTTTATTTTTCATCTAGTCGACTTATGGCTTTGCAGGAAGATAGGAAAACCAACAAATGGAAGAAGCGGGACGTTTGTCTGGGCAGCACTGAGGCCTGTGCCTTTCCCGGGCTGATCAGCACCTACAGCAAGTTCATCATCTCCTTTGCCGAAAACGAAGCGGGTAACACACGTGCTGGCCCATCTGACTTCTGCTTCCTGGGACTCAGATAATCACGGGCATTGTGAACTGAACGTTTACCAGTGATTGTTATTGTCACTATCGTTGCCATGAAATAGTGACCACTTCTTCTCGGCTCACTCTCATTTAGTCACGTTTTATAATTTATGGGAGACTGTTCTAGGCCCTTTACAGTTTTTATCTAATTTAGTCATCACAATGCCCCTGATGGAATTATTTTGTTCATCAATAAGGAAACATTGACTGTGCCAACCCGCCCCTTCTTGGTGCCATGCATGTAAACAGAAATGTACCTGCCCTGGGCCACACGCTGAGCTAGTCTCGGGGAGCTGTCACGCAGGATTTGGGTTCCCTCCCTGGGGCTCATGCATGTCAGGGCCCTCGCTGGTGCCCAGGGTCTTCTGTGTGCCCAGCTCTGTGTCTGGCCCCGCCTCGTGTCCCATGATTGACTGCCTGTCTGTTTTCTCAGGGGAGCTCTATTTCCTGGCCACCTCTTACCCAAGTGCCTACGCCCCGCACGGATCTGTTTACAAATTTGTGGACCCGTCCAGGTGAGCTTTGGTCTCGCTTTCTTCTCAGGTGCATTTCTATGGCCACCACCACCACCACCACCACCACCACCGTCATCACCTGTGGAGCACTTGCTATGTGCTTGGCACTGTTCCAAGTTTGTGGTTTTTTCAAATCTCATTTAAAAAAATTTAAAAAGTGATTTATCAATCACTCTCAGTGTGCCAAGTACACAGCTCTTATCTAATCCTCACCACCCCCTGCAGGGATAGGCACTGTTCCTCTTTGTATTTTATAGATGTGGAAATTTAGACTTAGCAAGGTTTACTTGCCTGTGGTCCCCAGGATTTGAACCCATTTGTGTCTGTTGCCATGTCTGTGCCCCTAACCCTCTCACCACACAGCCTTCCAAGGGTGTCCCTGTGACTCCCATGCCCTTTCTCCTCTCCATCTGAGCTCGTTGCCGATTCCCAATGACATCCTTTCCATCCCCATAGAGAAGGGAGAGCTGAGCCCAGTTCTTACAGACGTGTGCCTTCTGGTGCCCTTGATTTTCCAGTCCCCTCTTGAGAGTCCTGGGTCCTTACTCTTTGTCTCTGTTTTCAGACGAGCTCCCCCCGGTAAGTGCAGATACAAACCAGTGCCGGTGAAAACCAGGAGTAAGCGGGTCCAGTTCAGGCCACTCGCCAGTGAGTCCATCCTTGTCTTTGACTCAGGCCTTGGCACCAAGGCGCAGACATAGTGCCCTCTGCAAATACGACACTTCTGCTGGGTGGGAGGTCTTACTTTCTCACCTACGGCTTGTCCTGTGGTTGAGTGTTGTAACTTGTAGCTCATTTTATACATCTCTTCGTACTAGAGGGAGTGGGGGCAACACCTGCTTCTCCTGTGGCCTGCTGTCCTCCATTCATTCATTCATTCATCAATTCATTCACTCATGTATTCAATCAATCATTCCTGTATTCATTCATTCAATCAATCTTTCATGGATTCACTCATTCATTTAGTACTTCTTTTGTGGCAGGCACAGTGCTAATCCCTGGGGCTATAGCAGTGAACCTGACCCATAAGAGTTCAGAGTTAAATGGAAGGGGAGTGGGTAGTGCAGGCAAATAAAGAAAGAAATATCACCGAGGGCTCCTGCATCCTTGGGGTACGGTGGGGAGTCAGGAAAGACTTGTGGAGGGGGGACACTATCTTAAGGGAACTATTCCAGAGCTATGTGTCATTGGAGGGACCCTATTAAAGAGGTAATATATTTAGATCAAGGTCCAGGCCAGTTAAAGGGCTTAAAAAAATATTAATTTCAAAAGAATTTATATTAAAGAACCCCCATGCAGTCATAGGTCTCCTGGGTGGAGCTTTTCTTGGAGCTCCTTTTCCAGGGCTTACATTTCTCACTAAATTACTGCTTGTATCCCAGAGACAGTCTTGGACCTGCTAAAGGAGCAGTCAGAGAAAGCCACTGGAAAGTTCTCCAATGTGACTTCAGCTTCCCGTCCAGACCCGGCCTCAGCTCAGAAAGGCTCCTCCAAAAAGCCAGCTCCTCCCACAAGAAGCAGGAAGCCGGCTCCAGGACCTGGTGCAGAGAAGGGAGCCCAAACGCGGTCCCCAGGCCCCCAGGGGAGGAAGAAGAAAAGCCGGAAACCCCGCAGTGGCCGGGTGACCCAGCCAGCACAGTGGGGGCGAGCTGGAAGAAGCCCTCCTTGGCCTTTTCTGTCAAGGTGGTCGACCAGGGCACCTGAGGGGGGAGAGCCACCCCACCACCAGGAACCTGCTGCTGCTAAACTGGGGCCTTAGAGGAATGGGAAGTGGGGGTGGGAGTGGCTGCGGCTGGATGGGGGGTGTGGGGGGCAGGCGGAGAGAACTTGACTTCAGGGCCTGTGTGATTCTCTCTGGGAATCTTGCTGTCTGAAGGATGCTCACTGTCTCCTAGTGGGAGACCAAATCCCACGTGGCCAGTGCACCTGGCTGTCCTGGCCACTAGTCTGTAAACCTTGCACTGCACGTTTCCAGTTTGTGTTGTAAATGCCTATAACCTGAGCTAATTAAATCAGCACTTGCTCAAATGGACGTGTATCTCTTGATCTCCCCAATGTTTGGCATTAGCCTAAGAGCCGTATTTCACCTTGAGCCACCTCTTGGGTCTAAGAGGAGGCCTGTGGTGACGGGTTTCCTAGGAGAGCCCCCCTAAAGTGGTCATCTCCTTTGCAGGTTCGGAGTAAGTAGTCTTGGCACTAAGGTATTCAAGGGTCTGAAAGGGTTTCGTAACAGACATTCAGTGTCAGTGAAGGGCTGACCCCTATGGGATAATTGTGGATATTTTTCTTGCTTTGGTGGGTCTATTTCAACACCCTCGAACACTTCAGGGTCACAACAGATACTCTGATCACATAACCAACAAAGTGTGAGTGTGTTTTTACTGGGCTAAGATCTTACAATCCAGGATAGAAAGTCTTACAACTGCATCTCTCCCAAAGCTAAGTCAATTTACGAAATACATTCTCTTGCCCTCTGTAGTGTTTAAAATGATGTTGGGGAGATACTTCATTTCAACCAATGCCATACTTACTTCTCTGGGAACTCCAGATGCCTCCGCCTACCAGTTTATCTGATTGAAAACGAACTTGAGCCCTGCCGGGCGTGGCTCAGCGGTTGAGCGTGGACCTAGGATCCAAGGGATCAGGGTTTGATTTCCGGTCAGGGCACATGCCCGGGATGCAGGCTCAATCAATGACTCTTTCATCATTGATGTTTCTATTTCTCTCTCTCCCTCTCCTTTCCTCTCTCTGAAATCAATAAAGATATATTAAAAAAAAAAAAATGAACACAAGGTCACAGGGCTGGGGCTCCCTAAACCTGCACCACCCAACAGATATAGAAGAGCTGCCAATGGGAACCAGATACGTAATTAAAAATTCCCTAGTAGCCACATTAAAAAAAAATAGGTAAAACAAATGCAATTACATATTTTATTTGATCCGCCGTATCTACACTATTAACATTTCAACATAGACTCAATTAAAAAATTACTAATGGAGTAGTTTACATTGCTTTTCGGAACCACGTTTTCTGACTCGGGCGTGTACTGTTTCGGCTCTGCCACACTTCGCGCACTCGGCGGCCCCCGTGGCTAGTAGCTGCTTTGCAGACAGCCCTCCGTCCTGCCGGACCTGGGACCCGGGCTTTCTGCACCGTGGGTGGGGGGCACCCACGCATCCAGCAGAGACTCTCATGCCTATAGTCACGCACATTCTGGAATTCGGGGGGGG